TCATTAGCATTCAGTAAAACCATCGATTTTATAAAAACCGAATGTAAAGCTATGCTTTATGTTATTGAACGTATTAATCATGATTGTGGTAGTCATTTTGATTTTGTTGTTAATTCAATATTTCCTGAATTAACACAATGTCTTGAACAATCATCACAAAATTTTTTTTCTGCTGCTGATCCGGATATATTTCATGAAAGATATTTATCATGGTTAAAATTTATTTCTCTACTTGAAAGTGATTTATCGAAATTAAGTAAACAAAATTTAAAAAATTCGAAAGCTTATCAAGATTTTTCATCACGATGGGATGTTATTGTTTATTATCAAATAAGATTTTTAGAAATTTCAAATTCAATTGAAAATATTCTTCTTAATCAACCATTTATATTAAATAATGAACAAAATTCACCATATAAAACTTTAATTACATCAACAATATTTCAATCAATTGATCGTTGTTGGCAACCAAATATATTTCTTGAACCATTATCTCATGAATTCTGGAAATTAACATTACAATGTATTGTTCGATTTCGAATATGGATTGAAACATTCAATGTAATTATAAATTTTTCTGTAGAATAGACATAAAATAATCTATTGTATAATTTCTAGGCAAAAACAATGGATATGAAATTTCTCGTGAATCTCTATGTTGATCTGCAAGTATTTTCAAATAAGATAAAAACACTTTTTCAAGAGATTATACTTAGTCAACGACTTATCTCACTTACTTCAATATCATCAAATATAGCAATAGAATTAACACATGGTAGAAAAATTATTCTAATGTATTTGTTTATTATTATTATTAAATGTTTTTGTTTTTCTTCTTTTTATTAGTTTTGGATGAAATACTTTCAGGTTTAATGAATAAATCACGTATGGATTTGAAAAATTTAATTATTCAACAATTAATTGATCGATGTAATGAAACTCTTCATTCTGTACAAGAAATTCCTCGAATGTATAGAAAAACAAATCGAGAAGTAAGTTGCAGGTCAAAATAACATTTAGAAAATATTTAAAAACAAAAAATATGTAATCGTGGACTTAGAGTTATTAGACTCTAGCCTTTGACTTGTTTTGCATTTTTTCTCATATATATTGTCTACGTGAGAAATTGTTCTAATATAAAATTTACATATTTATCTAATGTTTCCCATCTCGTAAATGAGAAATTTCTGTGGGAAAGATATTAATAATAATTAGAATAATAATTTGATTAATTTATCTGTATAGTTCATAAATGAAAGAATTTTATTTAGGCACCTACGAAACCATCAAATTGTATTCTTGCTACATTCCGTCATTTACAAACATTTTCCGATGATTATAATGGTACATTATTAAGTTCAGATGAGTGTCAAGAATTTTTAACAATTACTATGGAAGAAATTACTAAACGGTATAATTTTGAAAAAAGGTTTTTTTTTATTAATAAGAGGTGTTTTAGTTATTATGATTTATGTTCGGAAATATTATCATCGGTACGAAAAATGGAAGAAAGTATGCAACGTCTAAAACGTGTTCGTGAATCTTCAAGAACTCCATCAAATCAATCACAAAATATGACAACATCAGCATCAGTTACATTAACAGATGATAATAAAATTCGTAAACAAATACAAAATGATGTTACTGCATTTACTACTGAAGTAATTAAAAATAGTTCTTTATTTTTATATGAATAAATTTTTTTCTTAATTATTATTTAGCTGGAAAAACTCAATATTCATATTGAGTCATCGAATAAATTAACTATTCTTAATGAAGAAAGTCAAGTACAAATTTAAAATAATTATTATTTTTTTTTCTTTTTTTCTCTGTTTTAATTTATAAAGAAAGACAAAAAAAACGCTTAATTAATACTTTTTAGATGAAAATATCTCAATGGTTTATTAGATCTGATGAACTTCTTTTAATAAAAAATTTTTATTTATTAAATATTACGTCTGATATAATGAGTGATATTGAAACAGATAAAAATAATAATTTTTGGAAATATCGTTCATATGAAGAAATAAGAGAAATTATTTTAAAAAAATATCAAATCTCACAAGATACTTTTATTGTTTTATATACAAGAGGAAAACTTATGATGGCCGCTCGTTTTGCTTGGTTGTTGTATTGGATTGGTTGTAATCATATTCGAATTTTAATCGGAAATATAGAACCTTCTTTGTTTATAAATAATCTTTCTCAGTCATTAAGTCTACCAAATCTTCCATTACGACCAGAAGTTATATTAACTTGTAGTCAATTATCTAATGAATTTCTTTGTTCAACAACAAAATTTATTGATGTACGAACATATAGAGAATATTCAGGAGAAATAACAGGTTATTCATATATTCGACATGCTGGTCGAATACCGAATTTTGAATACGATCCACTCGATGGAATATATGGACAAATTAATGGAGATATTACTTGGGATGAATTAGAAGCATATTTACATTTAATGTCAAAAACAAATATCTATGAGAAAGATATAAAAAGAATTGTCTATATGTGTGGAACTGGTTGGAGAGCAAGTTTATCAGCAATATTTGCTGCAGAATTAAATTTAGCTAAAACTATCACTGTACTTGATTCTGGTTGGTTCGAATGGTCTGAATTATATTTGACATAGTTAACAAATGATTTCTATTATTAAATTCTCAAAAAAACTACTTTTATTATATAAGCCCAGTAAAATAATTAATATTCGGTCGAAATTTCGATGCATTTGCAGGCATAGGAACATCAAATACAATTAAATCATTTGATGGATTATAAGACCGTGTACACATAGCTGCATTTATAAAATATGTATGTCCATTAAATGACATACCAAATGCTATAAACACATATAGCAAAATAATATGTTTGAAATATGATTTATTATTTAAATAAAAATCTTGACCTTCTCGACTATATCCAAATACATGAAACGATGGTCCTATTCGACATGCTACTGTTCCTAAGCATTAAATTCAATGAAAATTAAAATATATATATAATTTATTATTTATTTCATTTACCAAGAAGGTCAACATCGCCTATATGGTCTTCAGTATAATCAGCATCACCGTGACCTAATAAGAATATAATTTAAAAGATATTATCAAAGCATATATGCCTAATGGTGGTTGACAAGTAATCAAAACATCAATTCCACGTGGAATATAGTTCCATTTTTTTATTATTTCATTTCGAGGACAAAAAAATGCAGCATTTTTATTTGTTGAAACCCTGATAAATCAAGAAAAAAAAATGAATGAACAAAATAATTTTTATTCTTTTAACCATGGTGATCCATAAAATTTCACTCCAGCTATTTCAACTCCCATATCTTGTAAATAGATCACATTTTTTAAATATTGTGATACATGTTTTAATCCACGAATTGTTAATTCTTTTTTTATATTATCTCGTTCACATTGTTTACTAATAATCAAACTAAATCTCTATTTTTATGTTATATCAAATTATCTTAACATACATTTGTTCATTCGTAAGATTTTCAAGATTAAAACAAATATCGGAACTTCCGGGAATGAGAATTTTATATTTTATTGGTAAATCATTTAGACATTTTTCAAATCTAACAATATCTGTCCATTTTGAATTACGTGAAATATTTCCAGCAATAATAAGTACATCAGCTAATGGACATGAATCGGATAATTTTGTTGTATGATCAAATATATCCGATGTACAAGCAATACGAAGCTAAAAAATGATTTTTTAGAAGAACAACAAAAATGATTTATTCACTTTATTATTTGTAATAGATATTTTATACGCTGATGGAAAATTTTTTAAATTAGGTAATTTATTAAATTTATGAGTTTTTTCAAGTTGTGCTAAGACTTTTAATGGATAATTAGCCATTGAATGAGGTGGTGATTGAATAGCTTTGGACATTTTTTTGTTTTACACGATTTACTTTTCGATAAAAAAAAATATATATATATATTTTATCTTGCGCAAAATATTTACTAGTTTTACTGTTATGATAGGCTATTTATCGCATTATACGATTGAAAAATATGTCATAAATATTCACCTTACATTTATTTTTCAAGGCCTACAAAAATTTGTATGATTAGTACAAATAGTTAATATTTTTTTTTCTTTGTTAATATTATTTAGACATAAACCAGAATAATTACAATCATCCTACAAATAATCATCATTACTAAATTTGTCCGATGGACGATTTGATAAGAAAACAAAACGATTCATACGTCAAAATACAGTCATAGTCATACGTCAAATAAGATATTTAACGTAATTTATCATTCTTTTATGCATATGATTGCATTGAAAAAAACGAAAGAAAAAAATATATACGACATAACTACTATCTTTAGAAGTATAATATTCAAGTCAGTTGATCTGCGTAGGCAGAATTATTTCTTTTGATGATTGTGGTAAATATATAGTGACATAATTTTTCTTGGTTAATATATACATATATATAATATTATCATTCAATCTAGTGGTTATGTCTGTCAACAACAGAATAAGATAACTATGAGTTAATGAAGTAAAATGCACGAACTAAATTTCCGTTGTTAAAAGAAAAAGTGTCTGTAAGACATGCTTGACATTTTATGCATGCATATATAGTTGAGTAAAATACATCATGAGATTAATTGTTAACAGTGAATAATAGAAGAAGAGAAGAAGAAAAAGGCGGATCGCTTATGGAATTTAAAATTCATCAATTGAATTTTAAAACTGTACAATGTATTTTACTTTTCACCATGGGACATACTTCTCCTTCGTAGTGTTTTTTTTCTTTTTTTCTTTGTCTTTCTCTTTCGTGTAATAAGTGGGTACTCATTCAATATTTTTCTTCACTTTTTTTCAATCATTCTTAACACGCGAAAAAAAAAACTGAAAAGTTCGCCAAAGGTGCTAAATCTTCTCTCTTCAGACATACTTGAAACAAACTACGTAGCTACATTATATATATATAGATGACGTGGAATCGAGAGAAAAAGAAATGCTTTGTTTCTGTTGTTTTTTTTTTTATACAATTTATTATCATCAGTGCGCACACTGTATTTACGCAAAACGGAGAGTGCGCACAAGCGCACCTGCGTTCCACTGTGCAATAAAACCAAACACACATTGTTAATAATTTTCGGGGAAAAAAACAAGTTTATACAAACTTAAAATAATCCCCCATTAAGACACACACACACACACAGAGATTTGTACAAGAAAAAAGAAAAACTTCATATTGCAGTCGATAGTACAAGTTGTACTATTTGTACATACCACTTTTAAGTGAAACAAAAACGAGAAAAAAAAAGAAAACGAAAAAATATGTCACAAAAACTGTTACATTGTATTTAGTACATATAAAAAAATAAAGGTATATTCTTTATACAATATAATAGTTAAAAGTTCTTAATTTTAACTGAGATTTTTCAATTAAAGTAAGATGTACAATTTCATTAGTGCACATACAATGAGCACGTCATTTGCATAGAAATAAACAAGAAAAAAAAAATGAAGAGAAATCATTGAACTGAGACATAACGGACGGAAGAAAAAAGAAAAAAAAAGAAGAGGAGGAGAAGAAGAACAAATAAAATGTTTCAATATATATTACAATGAATTTCCTCGTGATGAAGAACTTGTTGGTTTTGATGATGAAGAATTATGTCCACCACGTTTTCGTGATACTAATGATAAACATAAATCTCTTGATGATGGATATTTAAACCATTCAGAATTTAAACATTGATCAAGTGTTGGTCTTTCTGAAGAACGTATAGATAAACATTGTTCTATCAATTGTATACAATCTAAAGAGACAAAAAAAAACAGTATAGTCAAGTTGGTGCATTGTAAAAAGTACTTCATTTTTCTAGTAGGATCAAGCTGGTACTTCTATCTTACCTGAAGAAATATGACTTGGAAAATGAGGTTGACATTTAATAATTGATAAATCATCAAGAAATGGAATATCGCCACAAACTAAATCATATAGTAGAATTCCTAATGACCATACAGTTTGAGGTAAACCAAAATATCGACGACATGTTACCCATTCAGGTGGTGCATAACATGCTGTACCTTCAAAATCTGTATAAATTCCATCATTTAATAAAGCACCAGAACCAAAATCAATTAAATAAATTTGTCCTGTACGTGTATCAACAAGAAAATTTTCATCCTTTATATCTCGATGAAGTACCTAGAAATATATATAAAGATAGAATAAATAAACAAATATGTTCTTCTATTTTGACTTACTCCACATTGATGGATATCTTTAAGAATAATAATAATTTGTTTAAGAAAATCTCTTGCTAATCGTTCATCGATACCATTTGAACGTTCAGATATAAAATCATATAAATCACAACAATGTTCAGGTCTTTCAAGTACGATAACAAGTTGATCATTATGAATAAAATAATCAAGCATGTGTATAACATTTTTAACTTTAGCTACACGACGTAATAAAACAACTTCAAGTGGTAATCTTCCATCAGGCTAAATAGAAAAAATAATTAATAATACAAAAAAAAAAAATTTATTTTTTTATTTACTGTGTTTATTTCACGCATTCGTTTTTTTGGAACGACTTTAAGAGCAACTGGCATACCATCTTTTTTTCGTACACCTGCATAAACATCGCCAAAACCACCTGAGGCAAGTTTATGTGCTATTAAATATCGAGCACGTAGTGGATCGACAACAGCTAAAATTAAAAAAAAATTACTTGTGTATTTAGTTGGTAATATGAAAATTTGTTGAATACATACAAGAATTTGTTTTATTCGTTTGTTGTTGCTGTTGTGCTCGTTGATGAGGATGAATTAAATTTGTAGATTGTGAAGGAGTTAGTACAAGTGTACTCATTATAATAAAATATGTTCGAAAATGCCTAATATATATCTATATATATCTATATATCTAAAAAATAGAACGTAAATATCTATTTTATATGAATGACTACTATAATATGTATTACGAAGAGAATAAATGTTTTGTTAGATGTAGGATATTCTCATCGAAAGAAAGAAGAAAAAGAAGAAGAATAAGAAGAAAAAAAAGAACGATATCTCTATCCAACAAAAACATAATGCTGCTTCTGTTTACTGCTTACCAAGCGACACAACCTTACACTACCGTTCATGAGGGAAAAAGAAAGAAAATGTGTCTATGAATGAGTTGTGCTGTGTGCGCAGTCAAGAGAAAAAGAAGAACAGAAGACGTCAATGCATCATGTGAGGAAGCGATGGAGGGCATGATGCATTGGCAAAAAGCCAAGACAAACGGTTGAATGAAACTACCGAATAAAGCGTTCTTTTCTTCTCCTTTCTTTTTTTTCTTCTCTTCTTTCTCATTTTGGCTCGTAATCAAAAGAGAGAAAATAGAACTATGTTCTTTTTTTTTTTCTTCTTTTTCATGTTATACATGATGACTTTGTCAAATCGAAAGATATATACATTGACAATCATCAAATGGGTTAATTAAAACAAAAAAAGAAAGAAAGAAAGGAAAGAAAGACGACGACGACAAATGAACAAATATCTTGTCTATAATTAAACTAATTCATAGTCATCGTGACATAGAATAAACAATGGAAGATTTATTTTCTCAGAAAGAAATATATATAGATATTTATAAATATCTAGATATGGGGTTTGGTATCGAAGGTACTCTTGCTGTCTTATAACGATAACAATCGATAGAAGGAAAAAGGAAAGGACAGAAATACGTTGAAGTTTAAATTAGATAGACAAAGGACTGTCTGCTATTAATAGACAGATATATATCTCGATGAAAAAAAGATTGAAATGGATCAATATCATGTTTTTTTTTAGATTTATATAGAATGAGAGATAGCTATCATTTATGCGGAAAAATTTTTTTTTTCGATGGGAGTCTTTAATGTTTGTAAAAATATGATAAAAATCCCATGAAATACATACATTAACGTTGTATGTAAATTCCTTTTTTTCCCATTTCAAACAATAAATAATAAAACGTGACAGAATGAAAGATATTGCGCAAGAAGAAAAAAAAATATATATATATGTCAATAACAACAGAAAAACAATGACCTATTTTAAAATTTTATATCTAAAATAAAAAGAAAAGGGAAGAGCTAAGCCTTTTTAATATACGACTATAAGTAGACACCTTATCAGTATTATGTTTTTTTACTCCTTATATATATTAATCGTTGAAAGAGAAAATAAAAAAGAAAGTTTATGTTGATATTGTCTATATTTACTTAACTGCATCATATTTTTTTCTTTTTCCTATTGCAAACTGCAAACAAATTAATCAAAAAAAGAAAAAACGGATGTTAAATGTTTGATATTGATTTTTTTTCCAGTTTTTTTTCCACGACAGACGTTATACATACCTTAATAACTGTTTTGTATCGTGTTGTACACCTTTACTTAATTGTTACATGTGTAAATGAATAATCGAAATGATAGAAAAATAAAATATATGACAGAAGGAGGGAATGTCATAGCAAGCAAATAACAGATTGATTTCCTATCAAGATGGCTCGTCAATGAAATCAATGTTTCATTTTTATCCATCATCAGTCTGAAATATTACAGGTGTATATAGCACATGTTTATACCTTTGACGCGTCCTTTACATCTATATATATATATATATATATATTGATTTTTTTTCTTTCTTCTAGTTCCTGTTGTTGCGAAAGTATGAGTCAAAATATATATATACATAGATGTATGTTGGAGGAAAGTACATTAAAAAAAGGACTATGTTACTAAATCTGGGTTCACATTTGACACTTGTAAAGTGCGTTCTATTATTCTTTTGTACTATAATATAGTAACGTTATAAAGTCTATAAAATCAAGAAAAGCATTATAACAACATTATTTTCTATTGATACACAATATGACGCCAAGAGAAAATGGCCTTAATATCTACAATCATACGCAATTTGTTGGTTCCTACTAAAATTGAGTACTATATAACTAACCTTGAAAAACTAATGAGCACATTAACAGATATGCGTTCTTATTTTTTTTGATAACAAAAGGCATAAGATCAATAGAATGAAATTTACAAGAAGGAGTATATAACGGCCTCATTTCATCTGATACACTATTACTCAGATGCACTTAATAAAAAATTTCTTTTATATATCTAAACTTGATCTCTTCATATTATTTGTCAAACAAGGATGTGAACGGAAATACAGATACCAATCTCATAACACCTACATATATATATATATATTCAAAGCTATCAATGAGATGGCATTACTGCCATTCTCATTTTCCTCTTTCCTGTATTTCTAAGTTCACACGCGATTAACACCTATTTGTTGCTCATCATAAAATAACAACAACATGAATATATGATTCAATGATTTTTGACGTTTTCATAGATATGTGAAACAGATGTATAAATACATTTGTATTTAACCGACTAACTTTGATGATAAAAAAGAAGAAGAAGAAGAAATGTATGATCAATTTATTTCGAACAAAATCATATTTGATTTCAACATTATTTTATAAATAATCATTGAATTCATAGATCAGATAAAAAACTTATTGTTTAATATTTATTATATTATATACTAATGATTTATGAAGACTATAGAACAAAAAAAAACATGATTTTCTATTATGTAAATAAATATTTAATGTTCTATTCAAAATTTATGATTATTTATTCTGACATGGAAATATATATAATGTCTACAAATATTATTTTTTTGCGTACATTTTATTCTTTACAAACAATTAAACATATTCATTTTCTTTTAAAGCTATTTATATTATAGAAAAAAAGGAAATAATTTTAATATGACCTAATTATTCTGAAAAAGAAAATATTTAGATTTAATTACACAAAAAATTTCTTTAACATGCGATACATAATCAAGCTAAAATAAAATGAGTACATTTTTATGACTTGTTTTCAGTTAGAAGTTTCTTAAAATAAATCCTAATATTTGTAATCAGATTAAATGCACTATGATGTTTTATTACTTCTCTTATGTGTCATATCAAATATTTATCCAAATCTGATTGTAAAACTGACTCAGCATATAATTTAAAGTACAAACTACTAAGATGTTTTACATACTTCAATATCTATTTAATTTTGATTCATATATATATATATAGAGGTAACTGTGAGTAAATTTACTGATACGTCTATGATTATAGACTGGAATTTTTCAACTGACATATACTTAATGAAATATTCAAAATAGAACACTCAACATGTCAATCGAATTTTAGTAGCAATAGTCTCATTTGATAAAACGTTATTCAACGATGCATTTTCACGCATTTTGATTTCATTCAATGAGTAAAGCAGACAACTAAAAAATATACTATGCATAAAATATGCATTTTAATAACACTAATGCTTTGTTCTCTACTTCAGAATTGTTAATATACCGAAAAAATATTTCTATTAATACAGAATACGATTTTGATGAAATTTTATATGAATATGTAATAAGTGAGTAGTGTATTTATTGTACATTTGGAATAAATTATATCAAAAATACAAAAAAGGAAGTAGACAGTGTCTTTTTTTAGAGAATCATATGTACCTAATGAACTCTTACTTTTTATCATGAATTTTAAGACAAACACTTCGAACAGAATATATATATATATATATATAAACGAAGAAAAGTAAAGAGTATCTTTTGATTGGTGTAAATTGTCTAAAATATATAAGATTTCAATGATCAGGTAAAATTTTATATTGGAATGTTTCTTTAAGAATGAAACACACAGTTCATATCCGAGTATCATGCTGTGAAAGATGATGTATATGATAATGCATTGAAAATTTTTACTTAAAATACTTTTAATTGTATGACTTCTTTGAAGAAGATGTTTACTACATAAAATCGGTCGATCGATAAATATTTAGTAATAAAGTACATCATGTTAATTACTTTTCATATTCTCTGTATTAATTTACAAATGTTCTTTATAGAGACAATGAATGTAATAAATTCAATTAATTTATATTTATCTGTTGTGAAGTTGTGAACATGTCCTTCATCGGGACACAACTATCATTAGCATGTGTTTGACATATTAAAAGAAATTATCAGTTACATATAATCTACTTTTCTTATGTAATAGAATCTAATTCTTTGAATTGCTACATGAAACTTCATTCTATAGGAAATTAATCCTATAATTGTGACCTGAAAGATTGAATTATTATCTGAATATGACAAGTACTATGCATTAGTTCTGTTTTTGAAAGATGAGAACATTAAGAACAAAAAAATCCAGGAAGAATCACTTGAATTAGAGCGTTTATAATTGCATATTTCTCAAAATTATAGTACAATTGATTTTTTATAAAACACATATTCATTTAAAATCAATTCATAATGAAAGATTATACGTAGTTAGAGGTTACTTCTTTTTTTATCCTTAAACATAATCCGCATGATTTATATTATAGTCATTTTATTGAATGAATAATCAAAATTTTGTAATTGTAATGATTGATATAGAACAATATTTATTTGAATATTAAAATTTTTTATATAAGATAAATCACGATTTCTAAATAATGCTTAGATTCAACTGATTGATCACCTTTCAATTCAGACTCTGTACATATGATAGATTATGGTGAATTATGAAAAATCTCATAGCTTTTCTGTCCAGTGTGGAGATATGCGAGATCAAGTTTTCTTATTCTCGATTAATTCTTCTTTCAATGATCTTGGGAACCTTTTTTTAATGGTTCCGGTTCCGGTTAATTGTTTTTCGATGATCTCGATCTTGGTCTAGCACATCTCTAGCCCATAGCTAGAGACATTTTACTGGAATTTTTACCTATGTCATGATACATACGCCAGCAAATTGAATGATGGCATTTCGATCTAAGGTTTATAGGAGATTCTAGCATCTTTGGTGATATATGAGTGATTTTTGCGACTTCGATATCTAAGAAAGAAAATAGTCCCTTGAGCTGAAATTTTTAGAGCAATCTACTCACAAATAGGCTTCTCTGTAGGCCAAATCTCAGATCGACATATTATCATTCAATTCGGTGGCATATATATACAAATAGAAAGACTATAGATACTTCACTAGGATCCACCTTATGTACAGAGTTTGAATTCAAAAGCGATTATTCAGTTGAGCGATTGATGATTTCTATATGTACACTTTAAAATTATAATAAATATACTAAATTTTGATTATCGATAACAATATTTATTGAATATATTCACTGTTTAAATGTATACATCAAATACTCACAACTATTATATATTATAGTGTTTGCGACAAAACAACAATAAAATAAAATAATTCTACAACAATTAAAAATAAATAAGATTTTCGATTCATTCTCTAATTTTTGTTTCACTCGGTATTGTTTTCGTGTTGTATTTCAGCTTTTAAACGATCTGTTAAATCATCAATATTATTTTCATTTAAACCAGTTCCTTGACTAACATCACGTGATGCTATAGGAGTATTTAAAACATGTTGATATTCATCAGTATTAGCTGTTGCCCATGGTTGTAATTCACCCGAAGCAAAAAATGTATAAAACATTAACACTAATATACAAATTAATATTGAAATAATAAATATAATATTCCATTCACGTTTTAACTATAAATAACTATAAATTACAAAACAAAAAAGAAAAAAACGTTCTTAAACTTACATGTGTATCTTCAACAACATAACCTGTTAAAATTGGAATGAGAAAACCTGGAGTTGAACCAACACAATTTGATAAACCCATTAATATACCAGCATAATGTGCTCCGATATCAAGATGATTAACACCAAAACTAGCCCATGCTGGACCACAACTACCAATTGCAATTATAATACCTATGATAATTAAAGCACGATGATTTGCATCTAATAAAGTCACAAAAAGTAATGCCAAGGAAATTACAATAAAAGCTAAAATAAAATAAATTAAAAATGATCCTATATGACATTTGACATTTTACATATAGACATAATTAATTTTCGAACATATCCTGTGGAATGTTGTTGTGTTAATCTATCCGAGATAATACCAGCTACATAGACTAAGATTGCTAATGGTAACCATGGTATTGCTGATAATACTCCAGCCTATAGAAAGAGAAGAATTGATAAAAACAAATGCAAATTTTTAATAAGATAAAAAACCTCATCAACTCGATAGCCAAGTGATCGAGAGAGAAATGTTGGTAATTCTGTAAACATAACATAGATACACCAATTAGTTCCAAAATGTGCTGCTATAATAGCCCATACCGGAAGTGATGTTAATATATCTTTCCATGGAATTGAATAATTCTAATTAATAAAAACAAATCAGCTTAGTTTTTTTTGAAGACAAAAAAAGAAAAAAAGCAATCTATTTTACACGTGAAACAGGATGATATAAATTTTCTTCAATATATGCAGCTTCTTCTTCTGATATAGTCGGATGAGTTGATGGTGATTCAGAAGCCAAATAAAACCAACAAATTGCCCATAGGATTCCCGATAATCCTAAATAATATTTTATTTTTGGGTAATTTTATATCAGAATAAATTTACCTGATAAATAGAATATCCATTGCCAAGTCCAATGTGCAGCAATAATACCACCAAAAAACATTGTTATCAATGTACCAAAATAACTGCCTATAAATAAATAATTACAAAATCTTTTTTTTTTATTTTCATTAACACATACCAGAAAATGCAAATGTTGCTAATTTTGATTTATCATCTTTTGGTGCCCATTTAGACCACATAGCATGAAGTGATGGATATATAAAACCCTTTTTAAATAGAGAATAATAAAAATAATATAAATTTTGAAGTAACTTACTGAACTAAAACCTTCAAGAATTCGAAGAATTATCAATGCTGTTGGTCCCATATACGCAAATAATGGTGTAAATAAGGTTAAAAGTGCACATAGGCCTACACTACCACCAAATAAAAATTTACCACCGTAAGTTGTTGCTAAAAATCCAGCTGGTATTTGTGTGGCTGTATAACTATAAAAGAATGCTGAAAGAATATAACCTTGAGTTTTTGTATTCCACGTATAACCACCCTTAAATAAATGATGAAGAAAAAAATGTAAATATTTATATTTAAAATAAATTTTTACCGATTGTATTATGGATATGTTATTATTTGATGTTATATGTCTTGTTGGTTTCACCATAGAAATAATTGCAATAGATAAATTTGATCGTAACATATATGCATTAAAGAAACCGAAAAAAGCAAGTAAACCTAGGATATATCGTTTTGGAATTTTTTGATGGATGTTTGATAGAGTCATATCTGTTTTTTATGTATTTTTTGTCAATCGATCACCTGAAAAAATATACAATGATCATTTATATTTAAAAAAGAATGATAAGTAAAGAGAAAAACATTTTCCTACACAAGACTAGAAGTAATACATTCGTAGAGTCACTCTGTTGCGCTTCGTGCACGCGTTAATGACAGAATTATATTTTTTTTTCCTGTGTCTTTTACTCTCCGTTCTTCCTCCTCCTTTTTTTTGCCGAGAGAAAAATATAAGTGTGGGAATCGACGCACTAGTTATAAGTCGACAACCAACTATTGTGCCTAATAGAACAAAACTCTAGTTATAGTATGGAACATCTACTATTTTCTTTTTCTTC